ACACACACACACACACACACCTCAGTGCAACCTCAGGGCTCAAATGGAGCATTCATTTAAGAAATCAAGTGCTACTATTACCTCCGAGCGGCGAGTAGCAATGTCACAAAGAGTTCAGACGGTTGATGTTAAGTCATCTGAGAACAAAGGAGCATTACAAACCCCCTGAATAAAACATGCTCCCCATGTTAAGCTTGATATGAATCAAAGGGAGCTGGAGCAGAAAATCAATAACCTGCTTCACTTTGCCGGGCAGAGGAGAGGCCTGTGGTGGAGGTGGAGAACAACAACGCCTCTTGTAGGAGAAGTTCAGGACTTCACACATGATGAATCCCATGAATCTTGTCTATGTGACTCAGGTGGCAAAAGTTTTTACTCGAGTAGAAGTACAGATACTTGCGTAAAAACATGATGGCGTATAAGTACTGGTTCAACTTCTTCACTCATGTTGAAGTATAAAAGTGGAATGTACTCAAAGTATCAAAGTAAAACCGTCTGTGTTTGTGCAAACCATGGTGTCACATTAATACAGTTTAAAGACTATTAAACTTAAACCAATCATACCTTAAATAAAAAAAAATACAAAATAAAAAAAAGAAGGTGCAGATATTTCTTGTTGTTGTGTGATATTTGTATTTGTGTGAACCTCCAGTGAGAACCTCTGCAAATTTGTTATGAGACAAAATCAGATTAAGAAAAAAAAGGAATCAACCAGGTGCCGTGAATGAGAGTGTGCATGTTGTGTGGAGCAAAACACAATGAGCAGAGTTCATCCGCCGAAAGCCGCGGCATTTGGAGTAAAGACGTTATGCAACCGAGCTGAGCCGGCCGTGACAATCTATATCACACGCACACTCAAACTCCCCCTCTGTCTCTATGTCTATCTATAACACAGCGGTGGAAGAAGTGCACGGGTCATTAAGTTAACATAAAAATAGAAACACAACAATAAAAACCTACTCTACTATAAGAACAGGCTCCACAGTCACAGCTCTACCAACTGAAAGTAAAAGTAGCTGCAGAAAAACGGCCTTTGCAACAGATATATCACCATTTAATGCCTTATTGATTTGTTAATGCTGATCAATACGTGCATGTGTAGCAGTTTTGTGTTGCAACTGGTTGAGTTGCAGAAAGTTTTTAAAACGTTTGGTGTTTTAGTCCAAAGGAAGAGATTTACTGTGCTGCTACAATAATAATAATAATGATAATAATGTTTCAGCTTCTGTAAGCTTATTATATGTACTAATGTAAAATGTAACTTTCAGATAAATGTAGACCTCAGTCCTTAGTTTCATTCCCTCTCGTGTACCTCATGTTTTGATATGACAATAAATCTAAAATCCAAACGTTTTTCTTCCTTAAAACTTAAATTAAAAGTCCAAATCCAAACATTTTCCAACCTGTGGTCGGTGTCGGATCAGAGAAGACGATGTCCAGCTGGGACACGGCAGCGTATCTGTCCTGGCCGCTGGAGCTGCCGACCGGTGGAGTCGTCTGGCTGACACTGGCAGGCTGCTGCTGTGGTTGGGACAGCGACTGGGGCAGAGGCTGTTGCTGAGGGTGGCTCAGACCTCCAAAGTCCACGCTGAGAGACTTGGGGAAGGCCCTGAAGGGCCCCGTGGCCCCCGAGGCCGATACTGTGCGACCTGAGGGCGAGAAAACAAAGACTCGGACTCAGTGGAAAGCAGATAAAAGTAGAGAGGCTCTGCTGATGCATTCAATAGCAATATACAATATGTCGCTTATAAACCTGACAAGTTCTACTTAATTTCATTTATATCATTCATTAAATTGTGAATAGTTATAGATATTTATATATTAAGTTAAATCAAACTGCATTTCTATTGAAACCAAACAAAAATGTTTTATTTTTTTAAGCCTCTAATTTCCTTTGTTTCGTAAAAAACTGTTGAGGAAACAATCTCAGCTGAAGTTCATGTGATCAGATAGAAAGCTCAGATACTAAATGGACTCGGAGGTGAGAATAATTCTTCAGCTGCTGTTTTCAGTCATTTCACATGATCATCATCATTAGATCTCCTCAAGGAATTAGAGGTGATCTAATTCATACAGCAATTAGCATTCGGTCTGCTCAGGAAGATCATGGAATATGGTCAAAGCCCAGAATAGCTACTTAATGGCCCGACTTCAGCTGTTGTGTTCAAGATTGAAAATGAACTTTGAGCCTCACAAGGACAAAAAATAAATCTCCCTCCAACGTCCACTTAGTGACTGTTGAAAATCACATGGTCTCCATCACCAGCTGGACCCTTCCAAACTATTTGTGGAGGTTTAGCACTTTTAGTAAAAATTTTATCTAAATTGGAACTGGAGAAACCTCATGTGTCAAAAGCTCCATAACTGTATTTCCACTTAAATGTGAATTGAGTTTTTGAATCAAGCTAAGTCTAGAATGACTCATGGATTTGATCAAAACAGAAGCATAAGCCTTAAATGAGTCCACATAAAACATAAAATAAAGCAATTTATCTCATGCTACGTTTACATTTTTTATGCTACGACACCAGTGTTGCCAGATGTACAATAATTATCATAATTGTATGAAAATCTTTCCCTCTCTACGGTGTACGATCACGTTTGTATATACGCAGCCATCTCATATTTCAAAATAAGAGCCTTATGCCTTGAAAGGGTGAACTAAATCGCTTTCTCGACACAGCTTGGAAACGTCTGTATTGCGCATCCCATCCCTCCTCTGGTCGCGTACTTTCATTTTCCTCGAAATACAATAATTTGAAGCTTCCAGTATGATACTTCAACAATTTCACATCTGGCAACCCTGTAAGAGGCGCAACGATTTGCTTGGCAAATCAAGTAGCATGTGCTGTTGTCATGGTTGCATGAACAAAAATATTAAAAGCCAAAGCAGGAAGCTAGCAAGTGTCTGGACAACACCCAAAAAAACAGTTAAACGGTAACAAAGGCAGGAAATCACAGTAAACATCTTTCCAGCTAGCAACAAGCATTAGCCACAAAGCATGCTAGTGCAACGTTTGCATGTGGTTGTATAAGTAAAAGTGTAAAACTTGTTTTCCTCTGTCGCGACACAGACCAGACCAGACTTGAGCTGACACAGATTATCTGAAGATATAATGCATGCAAAAGTCAGGCCGCATGTTTTTGGAATGTGATCATACGTCTACAAGAGGATCTACAGATACAGACGATCTGTACACAAACATACCTAAACTTCCTACAGTACTTCTTTGTGACATTGTCAATGTATGTTGTGGGATTACAGCTGTGCCCTACATAGTTCTCAAGTGCCTCAACGCCAACACGGGGAGAAATATTAGCGGGGGGGGGGGGGCCCGCAGCAGCTACGGCCTAAAAATAGCGTTACTTTAAACTTGTTCTTCTTCTTCTGAGGGAACAGCATGTGTGTGAGTCTCGTTGACCCTCTCAGCCGTCAGATCGGGGCTTGGAAGAGGGGAAACCTGACTGATGAAGACATTTATCAAACCCTATCGCAGCCTGTGACACCGGCAGCTGAATATAGAGGGAAGCCTCTTCTCTAAAACTGCTTTAAAAATAAACCGTTTTCAGATAAGAATTGCGAGAAATGTATGAAAAATAGGGACAGGATATTTTTGTTTGAGTTTGCATTTTGCATATGAAAAACCCAGTAGGCGATTGTCCGGGTCAGACAGGATCGTTCAAGCGAGGGGTGGAGGGATATCGCAGGTTTTACTTTACAGCAGCGTTTTCTCTTATCACCAAAAGCTCTCAAACCTCATCGACATGTATGACACCTCTTTTTCAATCTGAGATAGTTGTATTCTTTTTGTCACTTGTTAGTACATCATCGAACACGCCCACTATTTTACAAGGGGGCTGGCAGGAAGAGATCCGGGAAATGTCCCTAGCGAGGCAACTGGCTCGGACGTTTGCATCCTCACATCTGAAAACGTTCACAAAAATGTCTGGACTTCAGAGCACGTCTGAAAGCAGCTTTAGATTCAAATTCACATGCTCGTGCGCAGCCTGGTCAGCGCCAGCACGGCCCGCATACCGGCCATGTATTATGAATGATGCAGCAATGAAAAAGCTTATTGATCGCAGCCATTCAGCAAACACTCAAATGCGTCGGCTGGAGCCGTGTCTTACCCAAAGTGAAGTGGTTTTTGAAAGAGCTACTGGCTACGAGGAGAGGAAGGAGAGAAGGAGGGTTAAACAGAGGGAGGGGGAGGAGAAAATAAAAGAGGAGTAAGTGTCACTGGTGTCATGTAAAAACTGTCTGTTGAATTTTGTTTTACATGAAAAGCAACCCAGTGTGATGCGATGATGGCATTTTAAACCCAAGCGATATGATGGAAAAACATAATCAACAGCCGAACTGCTTCTCCCTCTATGTCCTTGTGACACTTTGAGCCGACAGCGATGAGAGCACAGTGAGAATCAGTGAAAATATTCTACTGCACAAACACACTGACGCTGTCCCAACTGTCCACTGCTCCATGTTCTGCCTACAGGGACATCGAACAGAATAGGAAGGGACACAGTATCTTAGTCTCACTGTCAATATGCACCAGCTGCTTAAAGGATCAGGCTCTCTAATCTTAATAAATCTAAAGGGTGTAAATCGTCTGGCTCCTAATATATCGTTTCATTAATAAATAGTGTTACAGCTAGTTTTCAGCATACAGCACTGTTACAAGAAGAACAATTGCATTTGTTGGGGACTATTTTCAGTGGTGGATTAACACATTTGTTGTAAGTATTTAAGTTTGTTTGTAGTGAGTCTTTACTGCAACAGAACAGTGTTGTGATTTTGTATATTTTGTGACTTAAACGTCTAGTGGGGGACACACCTGATGGTCGTGGGAGGGCGGGGAAGGAGGGGGCGTGACTCTGAGCCCCCAGCGCTGAGGACAGGGAGCCTGGCCGCTGTCTCTCTATCCCACACAGGGTGGGGTCTGAATTGGAGAGGGACATCAGATAGAAGAGAAAAAATGGTGAAGGTATCGATCACATTTAGTTCAAATATATATCTAGTCCTCCTGTAAAGATCAACCCCCCCGACCTTTCAGAGAGGGGTCTCTGAAGCTTTGGGAGCGCGACGGCCGAGCGGTGAACACGTCCATCCGCATGTCGGCGGGCGAGATCACTGGCGCTCGATCCCACGATGGCAGCTGGGACTGGGACTGGATGAGACAAGGGATGAGGAGGAAGGAAGAGAGAGAAGCAGATGGGAAGTAGAAAGAGAAAGACAAAGGAAGACGAAGTGAGTCTCTTTCATGTGTTCTCAATAATTCATAAGCAGCAGCTTTGATGTGGAGGATACCTGGGTGCTGGAACCTTCCCCACCCATCAGTCTCCGTCTCTCAGAGGCAGTTGAAGCCGACTAAGGTCATTTCTTCACCTCCTATTCTCACTTGGGGCTCTTTGAACTCCTTGTCACTTTCGCATTTCACCCACTTTCACTCCCCTAACTTTATCTCCATCACTCCCTCATTCCATTTCATGTACAATTAGGAAACATTTAAGCCTCTTACCAGGGGCCGTGCCGATCTGGCGTTGGGGGGCAGGTTATGAGCGGGTGCCTGACTCGCTAGGGGACCATGGGAGGGTGGCATGGCCTGRACCCCCGGGCTCCACGGACCCTCCACGTCCCTCCGATTCTTACTCTTAGAAAAATGCCTGCGAATAATGAGAGCATGAAGTGAGTCTGTGTGACTAAGCAGCCTTGGAAAAAAAAAGCACAATAAACGCTTTATTCATCAAATATCTCGACTAAGGATATTTCTAGTGCTTGAAGCTAAATCCAAAACAGGAACTGTTTTTTTCATCCACGCACAGAAAGCAGTTATTATCTCTGAGCTACTGTTTCAAAAAAACAGCTACATTTTCAAACTGTGGGCGTCGAAATTTGGGACAAACATCATTAGTTGTTGCTTTTATACATTTTCACTCCATGAGCTGAAAATATACATGTAGTCAATTAAAACCCACTTTTGTGATCCATTCTACAGTAAGCCCTTTTTCCACCCAAGCAAAAAAAACAAAACAAAACTAAGGGCACACACACACACACAC